CCAGGTAGGCAAAATATTATGTTTACTGTGCATCAGTAAAAATTATAATTAAATAATTATTCTTCCTGTTGGTCAAAATATTCAGTCCTCATCCACTGTATTTCTTCCAAAATTAACAAATAATTACTTTAATATTTTTAAGTCAGCATCTTGTTGTGGGCAGTTTTATGTTCCATTGCTATAATGCAGGCAGTAACCAGGACTTTATTTACATATGCCAACTAAATGATATACCCCTGAATTATCAACCTACATGACTAAAATCAATTCTCCAAAATGCAATATGCCTGCAGGACAAATTACATGCTATTTCATGATTTCAAAATATTAATCTATATTAAACATTTCTTGGTGAATATTCAAATTGAAATGAGGAGATGAACTGTGCCACTGCAGCTCTGGTTTCCATTAATTGCTATTTACATCAGACCTATTCTACATCCCAAACAATGCTGGGGAATGACAAAATATTCAATGTTGTACTTTTCTGGTTTGAGACAAGATTTCAGTAGGTAACCTCTCTTGATAAGGAGCCACATAAGAGAGATAACTATAATGTTCACCTTTTCATGCTCAGCATATCCATGGGCAGCCTTGCCTGAAGTCTCTCAAACTCCGCCTTAATCATCTCTGTCTGAAATATATAGTATAGTGCATCTTGTTTGATTTTTCATCGGTGTTGGCTGAACAAAAAATTGTCTCTCTCTGTAAAACAAAATCTCAATACATGTACAACATTCAAGGAACAAAAAACACCACTTTAGATTCAAGATGACAAAGATTTTGGAATATGACAATTTTCAGAATACCGCATTATATTGAGAGATTATCATGTAAACTGTATATCATTGATCAGATATATGCTACATTCAACTAGACAGTGTACTGTAACTACTTGTACTTCCTTACTTTAAATTAAATTTGTAAGCAAAATATTTGTTTGAAGTTACTCAAGAATAAGCAAGGGTCAAACTTTAAGCAAAATTAACAAACAAAATTAACAAGATAACAGTCATCTACATCCCTGTCTTGTCAAAATATCTACGAAGTGACAGTAGGATTACTTAAAAATTTCTTATATAGTAAGTTTGTATTTACTTAAAGATTTCTTATATAGTAAGTTTGTATTTACTTAAAGATTTCTTATATAGTAAGTTTGTATTTACAAAGTACACTGGGTGATGATAGACATCATTGGTATGTACTTATTTTAATTGGGTAAAATTCAATATTGGTGTCAGATTATGTTGTACTTTTCTGTGCATCTTTTTCAATGAAGAATTCCCAAAAGCAAAAGACATAGGCTGACACAAATAATAAAACACTGTATGTATATAAAGTTTGAGATATGAACAGTTTGGGAATAGTCTTTCTCTCCAGAAATAAAAGTGAATCTGATGGATACATGCACAGATTGATGGAAAAAGCAATGAAGATTTCTCAATAACAGCAATGTCTAGACTGCAATCTGATACTAAGTGTTACAGGGATATAATGAATGATTTTTTAGTTTTGTTTCAGGACCAAAGAGTGAATAATTTATGGATGGACAGAATGAAGGACAAAATCTTTAAAAAAAAATGAAAATTGAAGAATTCCTGACAGCAGAATGTACATCCAGACCACTTTTTTTATAATATGTGTATTTAAGTTTCATTAAGATATCTTAAATGATTTTGGGTTGTGCTCTAGAAATGAAACTGTGAATGATGGCTAGATGCATGAACAGACAAATGAAAGAAAACATTAAAAATATTGCAACTGAAAAAGGTACATTTACACAAGTAGTCTAAATCTACCAAACTTCATAAAGATATATCTTAAACAGTTTTGTAGTTTTGCCACTGAGACACAAAGTGTGCAAAATGGTGGGACAGAGATATGAATAAAAAATTTAAATTAAATGAAACTGAAATAATTAAGAATAAGCAAAAGGAAGAACTGGATAAATTTAATATTTACAGTATACCAAGTTACAGAGTTATCTTGAATGGTCATTTTCAAAAAAATAAGTGTGACTGATGGATGAATGAACAAACAAATGGACGGAAACATTTAAAACAATGAAAGTGGAAAATTTTGAATGGCTCTACTGTCTATGTATACATGATAAAGGCAGCATACATGATAAAGGCAATATGCATGATAAAGGCAGTATGCATGATAAAGGTAGTATGCATGATAAAGGCAATATGCATCATAAAGGCAGTATACATCATAAAGGCAGTATACAAGATAAAGGCAGTATACATGATAAAGGCAGTATGCATGATAAAGGCAGTATGCATGATAAATGCAATATGCATGATAAAGGCAGTATACATCATAAAGGCAGTATACAAGATAAAGGCAGTATACATGATAAAGGCAGTATACATGATAAAGGCAGTATACATGATAAAGGCAGTATACATGATAAAGGCAGTATACATCATAAAGGCAGTATACATCATAAAGGCAGTATGCATGATAAAGGCAGTATACATGATAAAGGCAGTATACATGATAAAGGCAGTATATATGATAAAGGCAGTATACATGATAAAGGCAGTATCCATGATAAAGGCAGTATACATGATAAAGGCACTATACATTATAAAGGCAGTATATATGATAAAGGCAGTATGCATGATAAAGGTAGTATGCATGATAAAGGTAGTATACATGATAAAGGCAGTATACATTATAAAGGCAGTATGCATGATAAAGGCAATATACATCATAAAGGCAGTATACATGATAAAGGTAGTATACATGATAAGGGCAGTGTACATGATAAAGGCAGTATACATGATAAAGGCAGTATACATGATAAAGGCAGCCTTAAGAAAATTAATGAAAACTTTGTATCACTAAATGTAAAACTGGCAAACCATGCTACCAAGATCTATACAGTATATAAAACTAGTAAATAAATGGGAAAAAATAACTACTATCCATGTGTGTAAAAGATGGTCAGAGGAGTTTACTAAGTTATTAAAAAAATTCAATAACATTAGAATTGTGTAAGTAAAAATATTTAAATACTGGCATAATGTCTAATGATTTATAATTCTCAGTCATAATCAGCAATGTTGGAAAGGAAACACTATACCATAAAAAATAAAAGCTGCCGACATTAAATATGTGCAGTTAGTGGCCAACATCAGCTACACTGCATTTTAAATAACCCATGGTTGCCAATCCTAAAATTTTATAAAACTGAGGGCTTGTTTGTTTTATTTTTCCCCCAAATTCATTAACAATCAGAATAATTAGCATATACATGGGTAAGGGGCAAAAAGGCTATGGCTTAGCCCTTTCCCTATCCTATAAATAGTAATAGTGGAGATAATCTGCTACGGACCCCTTCCCAAAAAAAGACAAGAAACATTAAAGTTGACTATGAATACTGTAAACTACTCCTAACCTCAAATGCATTGTAGTTTGGAGCAGGCAAATATTCCAAGTAGTTCTTGGTTGGTCGATGTCTCCTTTCCTCCTCCACAAGGGCAAGGGCCTGAAATAGAAACAATGTTCACCAATCAATCTAGGAACAAGTAAGAAACAAGTAGAAAAAATATTTTTCATTGTTTCTTGTTCAATGCTACATTCATAAACAATGTAAGCAGTAAGCAGAAAAGATAAAACATACAAGACATTTTTAAAGCTGATTTATGCGGGGTGATTTTAAGGAAAACAAAATGAAAACAATAGACTGCTTACAAGGTCGCCAACTTACTGCCTAAATAACAGTATTGTGCAGCATATTCTGAGATCAACTAACATCAGAATGGGAAGTCAAATTTACAGGAATATCTCAAAGACTTGGCATCCCATATCAATGCTTTTCTACATATTAAAATCATATTGCTTTAGTCAAACCTTACTAACTCTGATGTCTTTTTTGTAATAAATTCAAATGCTGACAGAAGAGTTAAGTAAGCTAGTCAAGCATTTCAATACCAGGGGTGCGTCACTTATAATTTTTACACTCAAGGCCAGTAGCTAATTATATCAAATCATTGTCAAAGGTGTACCCACAAATTAAAATTAACATTCTTCTAGAAAATAGATATTTACAATTAATCATGCTAATTAGGGACACATGTCGTCCTTGACTTTGTCTATAATTTCCGAGCAAATGGTAATTGGAGATGTTTGTTCCATTTCGTACAAAGACTTTCTAATCGCTTTAGCAATTTAATGTATTTAATTTTAACCCAGAACTTAAGTTTGCAATGTATTTAAAAATATCTTTAGCTGTAAATTATTAAGTGCTTTTTTCTGGACAGTATGTGGGTATATTTGGTCAGTATTTTGGTGTATTTAGTTAAATCGTGACATCCTTGGAAATGTGATCCCCATAAACATGTTACTGAACGACAAAACAAATGGAGAGATATAGCCGTCATTGTTTATAACATTATTTTGCCCGTGTAGAAGGATTTCATTAAAGGAAAACAATAATCAATAAACTTACCGCCTCTCTAACACAGGCATCATCATAACCTTGGTCATAGTAAGATAAAGCTTTGATAACGACTTCTCCGGTCATAACGACTCTTAAGAATAACACCGCAGTCTTCCAAATTATAATATCCAGTTTTCACTCTTAACCAGCTGTAACTTATATAGCACCGGGTACTTACTCCGTACAAAAACGAAATTATACATTTACACTGTTACGTGAACTGTAGTGCTACATTAACCCTGAAAGAAAAAATTACCTTATTCACAGGTCTAACTGAGCAATATGTTCTCCGATTGATTAAAAAGGTACAAAATAACGAAAAGGTTGTAAATGTAGAAATTCCTGACAAGAAAAGGAATGTTTTACAAATATTCTTTATAAAATATGCTATACCTCTTGATACAATTAATAATTTCCAGAACTAATAACTTGAAACAATGCAAAATTAATAAAAATATCTGTATATTTTTTATTTACCTTATTTAATCTACTTTTCTGGAAATAACATAATCTGATCAGGACTTTTTTGTTGCTCCCATTCTCTCACGACTGCTCCAGTGGCCTAGTAGTTAGAACATCTGCCTCATATGCAGGAGGTCACAGGTTTGAACCCTGGCAGAGTCGTACCAAAAACAAATATGGTACTAACAGTTACAACATGATGCCAGAATAATCGACATCGCTATAAACTGCCACAATGCAGACATTATATCAATATGACTGAAAATGTTTTAAAGCTACATCAAAAATTTAAATCAAACACACATACACACTATCTCTCTTACACAAACACAAAGATGCAAATAAAAATACACATCTCTGTATTGGCTCTTTTGAGGCTAATAACATCTAGCCAAATCATTTTTATTTCAAGCAGTACTTTCTAAAACAATGGCAATATAGATTCATAATTAAACCCAAGTTAATCATAGTATTAAATAAAATTAATTTATAAAATTTTGAAACTGAAACAGTTGCTTTAGAAGAAAACATATAGTTGTACCCATGAAAAATATCAAATATTGCTCCCCTGTAAAAATTTTTAAATTTAACCTTTGTCGCCAGCCATGTAACATTTAACCGGGGGGGATATTGTTTTGAGCTAGGGTATTTGTTTTTCTTTTATCTTAAGATAATATATATATATATATATATATATATATATATATATATATATATATATATATATATATATATATATATATATATATATATATATATTAGGTTCTTTTTGTCTATAAATCAGAGCAATACAATTTTTTAAGCTATTTATGGGCCAAACTTTTATTTTAATCACAGAACTTCCAGAAAATTAAATTGACACTTCCAATCATAATAAATAATCATAATAAATAAATAATATGAGCAAATTTAACAGCTGATAGAAGACTTCTACAAGTAAAATAAACAAACAAAATGTTAGCATTGTGCCAATAAAATTTAATGCTGTCAGATGGATAATGACTGTAATGTAGGAATACTTTAAGTACTGTACATTCTACCATCAGATAGGTTTTGCTTCATATTTATTTAATACCTATCATTGGACATTTTATGAATAATGAGTATTTGGTTATCATTTTTTTCATTTACTTAAAATTAATTTGTACAACTAATGTACACCATTTTTCATGCCACTTCTAACTCCATTATCATCATCAATTAAATTGCAATTATTTTTACTCTTGGTATTTTCATCATCAAAATGATGATGGTGAGGAGGAAATCAAATTATTATATTATATATTATATTACATTGCCATGGTAACCTCAAGTACTGAACTGCATCTCACTCTAGATCCAACTAAGGGAGCTAACCTTTGGTGAACTGAATCCCATCCAAATGGAGTTATACACCCTTATCTATTTTATACTATGGAAATCAGGAAAACCATTAGGTTTGTGTACAAGTTAATATGTGAAGATTTCAACTTTTTTTGTGAAATAAAAAATCAATTTGTACTGAAATACATTACTAATCTGCTGACCTTTAAATTACAAACTCTCATTTAAGGATGTATGCTCTAGTAATATCCATGTTTACTGCAATGAGATGATCAGTACTTGATGAAGTTAACCGTTATCTCAGCATGTCATACAACTAAGCACACTAGGAGAGATAACTTTAATTGTTACCTCTGTCTCAAGAAGTAACAAAAATAACAGTCCTGTCTAAGTGTGTATGTGTGTGTGCATGCATGTGTGTGTGAGAGAGAGATTAGGATTTTTAATATAGCTTTAACAATTTTCCAGACACTGCGATGAAATCTGCAGTGTGGCAGTTTATAGTGATGTCTAACACTGGGGCATCATGCAGCTGTAGCATTATGTCCCACCCAGTTACATTATCCTGATACCAGGTCGACCAATCCTAACAATAACCTCTTAATGCTGAAGGCCAAACAAGGCAGCTACTAGTACCATTTTTATAAGTCTTTGGTATGATTTGGCCAGGGTTTGAACCCACAACCTCCTTCATTTGAGGTTGACACTCTAATCACAAAGGCCAGCAAAGCAGTCTATTAGAAAATGATCAAGTCTACAAAAAGTACTCTATTTACTAACTTATAAGAGGAGTCCAACTGAAAACCTCATGGACCCAGTTCTGCCATCACATAATGTCTGTGCAGTTAGGGAGTAATCAGTAGAACAAAGAACCCTAATCTGCTGTGTATTATGTTACAGCTTATAAGGATCTTCATTTTTTTTTACAGTTTGATTCAACATAATATGTATATATATATATATATATATATATATATATATATATATATATATATATATATATATATATATATATATCAAAAAGAAAGGGAATTATGAGATCATATACTAACTAATAAGTGAAGCAAGGATTAGAAGAAAAAAATGTTTTCACATCTTGACACCAAGGACTGGTCTGGGGATGTAACCCAGGTGACAATAGCAGACAGTGCAGGTGAGAAAGGGGAGTTGGAAGCATAAACTATTTTAAAATTATTATTATTATTTTATTATTATTTTAAAACTTTTAAATTTAGTGATCTGACACTCAAAAAATAGATGAAAGCAAAAACTTTAATTAAGGTATCCAACATACTGACCCCACCTCTGGGACTTTACCCACAGGCTAGGTCAGTGTATTATATTCACATTTATTCCAAACATGAAGAAAATCGGTTATGGAAAATTAGTGCTGGAAAAATCATCAGAATAACGACCAATACTACCACACAGAGAGATACAGATTAAAGGGCTGGCAGTTACCGTAAAGGAACCAACCCCAATCCTGAAGAAAATAAAACAAACTGGAGAACTATACTTAATTTAATCCCTATAGAGATACCCTTACAAGCAACGAAAGAGATTTGAAGACAAGTTCAACCTCCAAGTCATATCCTGTAGATTTGATACCATTCCCTCAACATCAATTTACAATGGGAATAGGATTTTTAAAATAGAAAAAGCAGATTAAGAGAAGTGAAAAGATCCTTCAACTTATTTGGTTTTCTAACTAAAACGTGGTATAAAGGCTGTATTTATCATAGGAAATGCAACAGATGTGGACAAACAGGGCATACCCCACAAATATTCAGGAAACCTGGAACAGAAACATCAAAATCAAGTCACTGGACATAAAAGACTCGAGAACTGAAATAGAACTAACAAAACAGCAACCAAGCTTCAAGACACAGCAGAAAGAAAAACAAATCCAGAAAACCAACAAATACAAAAACTACATGAGAAAACACTCATTTAACAACAGCAACAACAACCACAACAACCAAAACATGTACAAGAGATGAATCCAAAGCATCTACAGCCAAGGGTGGTAGAACAACAGCAACAAGAACTACAACATTCCAAACAGTAATTCATAGAAATACTGATGACAGCTAATACGATTAAGCAAAATCCACAATCACGAGATCTAGCCAGAATACAGACGTACTAGAAAATAAACAACAAAACATTCAAAGTAAAAGTCCAAAACAACAACAGTCATAAGAGTGGGAAATTAAACCAGTCTTTTCAGGGCCAGCGTGTTGTTGGTCTGCAGAGGGCTTAAGGTTAGAATGAAAGCCCAATGTGGTAAACTTGTGTTTTTTTAATTTTGGTGGGGTGGGTGGGCGTGAGGATGGGTAGGTGTAGTACTAATATTAGTACCCTTGCTACTACAAAGTTGAGGCTACGACATCATAGCTAGAGTAGGTATGTGACATTTTGTTTGCAAGCTAGATATCCCTGTTCGTGTTTCTGTTGTTATATTAACATACATTCTGACACACGTTCACTGACACTCGTATACATATATGAATTGTGTTGGGGATGGTGTTATATATTTTTTAGTAATGAATCGATTTACAGAAGGATTAGGGTAACATGGTCATATTCTGACCACACAGGTAATTCTGACCGTTATGTACTTTCCAGTTTCCAACAAAAATATGCAAATTACTTGCTGTGCTCTGTTTTGTTTGTGCACGTGTGCATACAAATTAGTAAAGATGTTTCCATTAGGACATTGCATGACAAAATGACATAATAGCCCTAGTGTTCTCGCTTCCACACGAGTTCAGAAGCAGAATTCAGAATATTTAGTTTTTTTATTCAGAAACCAAGTCAGGCATCAATCATCAAAGATTTTGTATAGCTTTCAATAACATAACAATTTTGCTATTGTAGCTTTAAAATAATGTTTCGTCTCTTTAAAAAAGTAAAAATTGCACCATTTTTATGACAAATAACAATATTATGCAATGTTCTGTATTGTGGTCGGATTTGCCCCAAGTTATTTTTCATTAGAGGGCAATTCCGACCAAGAACATGCGCAAAAAAAATGTTGAATTATGATTAGTTTGTATAGAACTTTGAAGAAAAAGAAAAACTGGATTAAGTATCTAATTTAAATCAAATATAAAGTTAAAGGTATAAATCTAAATAAAAATAAAACGTTAATTCTCTCCACAACTATCTCCATAATAACATCAACAATTATCTATGTAACATTATTGCTTTCTATCAGCCATTTCTCGATCTGAAAAGAATAAAAGCAATTAAAAGCTTTAAATATGTCAAGACAAAAACAAAATCTTTATTTTACAGATGAAACTTGTACATGTACATATGTAGTGGTCGGAATTACACATATTCGGAATAAGCCACAACACGGTCGGATTTACTCCTGCGTATATAGTCACAATAATTTCAGTAAAACGAACTAAAATTATATGCTTTTTGGATAATGAAACTTGTTGCAAAAAGCCCTCTAGACTGCTTCCCGTATCTTAGTTACATATACAGTAGTCGACTTAAATGATGAAATGTCAACAAGTGTGGACGACTTAAGTGGTCGGAATATGATCGGATTACCCTAGATTGTTGTTGGCAAATGTTTGATTATAATCTTTTTCTAGAGATTTCGAGGCCCTAAAAAGGGCCGTTGTAGCATACAGCTGTATGGGGAAAATCGTTTAACAACCAAAACCGCACCAAGCACCAGTTCCATCCATGTTCCCATTTCACTGGTAGTACAACTCCAAGTTCATGCCATCATGTATCTCGTAGTCTTCTAATGTGATGTTATCTTTGAAAACTGTATACCATTTTTTAAGGACAATCTTGTCTGATCTGGTACCAGTCTG